TATATATATTATAACTTAATTATTGTGAAAAAAAGATAAACAGTGTTACAAAGTAATTAACGTGGTCTTTAACTTCATTTTTATTGAAGAAAATACCAGTTAAGTTGTATATTTAGCTACTCTATGGCACAGAAAAACCCAAACTGAGTCATAAAAGTATCAACTGTCTTAATTGTGTTTACCCGTATGACACGTCGAATTAAAATACAAATGCTGAAGCAGTATCAAAATAAGTCGAATACAGAGAAATGTGTTTAAAGTCAATGATTTAGTCTACAGAACCTTTGTAATCGCAGTATGCACAATGTGACAGTTAATGATATCAGTTTAACGAGATTAGAAGGGGTAAGTAGTGTCACTGATTTGAAATACAAGACATGTTAATGTTATCTACTGTCTCTAGTAATGCTATTAACACTTCTCTGTGTGCTGTGAGCTGTGCAAACTGAATATTTGAGGCAAGAAGAAAAACCTTGGGTCACAAGTGAATAGAATGCCAAACTAGACACACTCACCGGTGGATAAGATACAACACCAAAGACAATGAAAGGATTAATCTCTGAAACACACATGCCTCTTAGCATTTTGAGAAAATAAATAAAACGTTTTAAAATTTAGTTTTTACACGTTTTTTTTTAACGAAAAGATGCTGGTAAATAGAACCACGTGTGTAAATGTATTACTTTAATCTTGAATTACTTTTTTGTTGACATTGTATGTAAATGCAATTATTGAGGGCAGAGCACCATCTAGTGGTCAAACCGTGGTGAATGCAGCCTAACGTGTTGGTGTGAAAATAGTGAAGGAAATGAGAATGATTCTAATCTAATGATTCTAAGTAAAAATGAGGCTCAGAATTGTGTATATACATAATAAAGGCCTTCAGGCATGCAGCTACACCCATACAGGATCGAATTTAGTTCACTGGTTGGATTTGTAAAATGTGAAAACTTTAAAGCATTAAATTCTCTGCATTTACTTGTAATTAGTGACAGAAAACTTTTTTTGTTTTCTCCGCTGAGATCAGGCTGGAAAATGTTTCTGGCCCATCTGACAGCTTATCTGAACCTGTTTTCAGGCTCTTTGCACTCCTTCTTTTCCCACCTTTAGGTCTTCTAGTTCTTGAACATCTTTTAAAATTGTTGCCTTCCTCCATCCTTCTGACAGTAACTTGTAGCCTTTTTTTCAACCTTTAATCAGATGTTGTTTGGATTAGTTTGTTTTCAGAGGATTGTATACTGATGCCTGTACACTATCACTCCATTTTATTTCCTCATGTTAACCTTAAACAGGTCTTGTTTTAGCAAAGATATGCATGATTTCCTGCATCTCACTGTAAGCTAAACTTGTCTTCAACAGAGAATCACATATTGCTCATTCATCCATGGAAATACTGCAAAGACACCTCTTTGGCTTTGTTACATTGAATATATTTGAGAAACAAAAAACAAACAAACAAACAAACCAAGATGTTCATTTCATTGTGTGGTATTTATGTTTGCATGTAGAATTTAGAGGTGTTTAGTATATTCTAAATACATTTTCTTTTATTTGTTTTTTTTGTTTAATTTGTGTGTACTTTTTTCTTATTTTTGTTTTATTTTGGATCATACTCTAAACATAAAAAACAAAAGTTCTCCAGACTTTAGAGGACACGATGAAGAAATAAAGTGTTTTGTCACCAATCCTTTTATAATCTTCTCCACTGTACGATGTGTAATGGTAACACAAATCTCTCTTTAGAGAAAAACCTGGAAGTACATGAAGAGCCACATTATTCATTTGATTAATTTAAACTTCCTTCAAATTTTTATTTAACTTACCTAGCCCTCCTCACAGGGTTGTGAAGAAGCTCGCACATGTTTCTGTTTCTATAATTCGAGGAACTGAACAACATAAACCTTTATTATTTATTCTTTCATTGTGTCAAGCTGAAAAATGTAGCCATTGTAAGGTCCATCATTTGCTTTCCTGATAGTACTGATAGTATTAAAATTCTGACCATACACTGAAAAAAAGAACATGTTGGATTTACTTAATTCACTAGTGGACATTGGTTGCACAAATGATTTTCTTTGGCAGCAACTTAAACAACTGAGGTAAATTAACACTTAACTTTAAAACACAAGACAACTTGCAAGAAATAGCCAGTCTCCTTTTTCAGTGTACTTCTCTGCATTCATAATTTGTCACTCCACAATATGAGTCGCCACTGATTTTCATTTGAGTTCTTGTATAATTTGGTGTACCCGGTCTTTTCCCCCCATTTCCCTTCCTTAGAAATAGCTTCTTCACAGCCACACTTCCACTGAGACCCCTTCTGATGATGCTACAGTGAACTGTACATGGATCAACTGAAGGCCTGATGCATCTCTCAGGTTCTGTAACTTGTCCTTGTTGGATTTTCTCCCTATTTCTCAAGGACCTGACTTACAGATTTCATCAGCTACTTTTAGCCCTGCCACTTCTTTAATATGCCCCTCACTTGTTTCATTAAATATTTTTCAAGGACACACAATGTTCTGTGAATAGCTATTTGGGAATCACCTTGTTGGTGTAAAAATACTAATGTATTCCTGTCAAACTATCTTTGGCATTTTGATCAGATTCAACTAAAGAAATGGGAACACATTTTGTCTTTTGTGGCAAGCTACTAGTAAAAAAAGTACCTAAAGAGACATTTAACCACTCAAATGTGTCCAAATGATTTATTTGAATGACGTGTTCACTCCTGGAAAAGAGTAAGAAGACAAAGAAGAATTAGAGGAAGACCATGACCAAAGTGGTTAAGAATTTCCCGGCTGCAGTCACTGACTGCTGATGGATTTTTATGTTTTTAATAATAATTTATGTGTGTAAAGTAAAGGCGAGCCATCTGAAAAGGATGATTACTGAAAACAAATGAAGAATAAAACATATGAAACTTTGAACATGAAGGTGCTTTTTAAAAAAATATGTTTTTAGCGACACCTTGTGGCCATGCACAATGCTGTTTTCAGCATTGTGCATGGCGGTCTATGACGAGAAGTGACGTGAAAGCCTGAATTCCATAAAAAAGCCAAAATGTGAGAAGGTTGTTGCAGTAGAGATCTCAGTTCACAGAAGCACACACGAACACAACAGTGTTAATACGTTGTTAGATTACAATATATGGCAACATTTAATTTCTTTGTTTTATACATTCTTATAAAATGTTGTCCTCAACCTTTCCTGGTACATATACTCTATGCAGTCATCACTGTGGCACGTTTCACCTTTATAATAATCAATTACTGATGCAAATCATTTAGTTGCAGCTGCTGAACATTGCAACCTTTCTCTGAGTTTTCTGGAGTTGCGTTAGACTTTAGGCTTTAAGCAGTAGTGGTTTCCTCCTTTGGTATTCAGGAAACTGAAACCTCAGACAGGGAGCTGTGAGAAATGCTGCAGAAACTTTCAACCAAACAAAACTGAGATGAAAAAGAAAGGAACATGTCAGTGGTGTAAAAACAAAAGGAAACAAAGCCGTAAATGCCAGTTTCAGGAAATGAAGGTGTAAGAAAGAAGAGACTTTGAGAAACTGTCAAGACATCCTGAAGATTTCAATAATGTACTAAACAGATTTGTGCAGCAGCTAAAGAAAGTGAAAGACAATTTAACTACTCGGATAGCGTTTGCCATTTTTGCACTACATTTAGCACCAGTTTAACAAATACGCGTTTTCTAATGGAAAACCTGGTCAGCTTTTACTTTGTACAGCACCACAATGAAACATTCTTTACCACAGCTGCAGCAGAATAAAAGTAAAAGAACTGTTAAAGCTGGCAAATCTGGAATAAAAGCTGTATTTTAACAGTTAAATGTGTCACTGTTTTACTACAGGAGCTACACGTCAGATAAGTTTAGCAACCTGTGAGAAAACTTGCCTTTCCTTAAAAAGACAAACATTTAAAATGCATCTGACATGTTGTTCCTTATTGCCTATGTGGGTGCTTTTATCAAATATGATAAAATAAAGATGTTTTTGTTTCTGCTCTAAAAGTTCAGTTTCACGTTTTCCTACTCTTCACTTTGTATCACAGTAAATAAACAGATGGAGATATTTGAATCTTCATCTCAGGCCGTGAAGCTCCACCCACCTGCTGTTCAAACCTTGTGTTTGCAAGTTGCAGCAAGTCAGAGTGTTGGCTTAAACGGAAAGCAGTCTGGAGCAGCCAGGTAATAAATAAGGATTATTTTGAACTTTGAATCAGGCAAAGATACTCCACACATCAAGAATAAAAACAGGTCTGGAAATGAGCGTCACAGGTGTGCAGGTTAAAGAGGCTGGTCCTCCCACCACTTCCTTCTTGAACTTTAACTGAACTCTCCTTCAGTTAAAGTTATTCAAACCCCTTTAGCATTTGAAAGGTGTCAGCTGAGGTTTGGGGAGATTATTATTAGCATTTATTTTTACAAAGTATATCTCAATAAAGATTAAAATGAGAGCACTCATCCTTAAGAATCAGTTGCGACCACTTAAACAAGCTACTATGTGCATGCAGCCAGTGACTGTGATTCTTATAAAACAGCATTAAAGAGACGTGTTATTTCTTTCTTTCTTTTTTGACTTATAAACACTGATATAAAATAACATTTTTGGATATATATTTGTTTTTTCTTTGAAAGATGAATTTCATTTGAGTTTGGGTTCTTACAGTCCAGCAGGCAGGCCTGTGTTGGGAGGGTGTACCCGATCTCTTCCTGAACACAGCTGCCACCCGTTTCTCCGGAGGAGCTCAGGAGTGCACAGCTGGCTTCATTCAGCCACCCAGCAGAATAAAAGCTGGCGAACAGCTGCTCAGTCAGTGAGTCGGTCACCTTGTAGCGTTGGCTTACAGGGTATGTCTGAAACTAGTGACTAGCTAGTCAACCATGACCTGGATGACTACACAAGCATAGTGAATAGTCTCTTCTTGCAGCAGGACTGTTTCCCTTTTACTTGGAGAATCATTTCCTTTTTTTTAGCAGGATATTTTAGGTTGTGGGTCTCTTGTTTGGTTGAAATAGCGGTGTGTTTCTTTGAGTAGTTGAGTCATTGTCAATAAAACTTTATTGTTTTACACTTTACTGTGTTTTGGCTTTTTCTTTTCCTGGTTCCTGGTCCCTTAGCCTTTATTCGGGGGTGTGACACCGTTTTGCTGCCTATAGATTCATATAGAAAACCATTAAATTGCCTTTGCTTCTAGAAGAAGTGGGTTTTTAGGAAACCGGTATCCTGTTTTCTTTTTAAACGTTTTGTTTCAGGCTCGCCAACTAGAGGTCACAATTGGGCCACAACGATTGACTAAATTTTCACACATCGTGACCAGTCTGCTGCTTTGCCTCTTCTACGTTCAGAACTTTCTGTCATAGTAAATTTCCGTGTTTTGGTGAGTTGAATCTGAGCGACTAAACAGTGCGCCCTCGCAGAGGAGTGTATGGAGACGGAGGGAGGAGGAAGTAGAGGAGGGGAGAGCGTACGAGAAGGAGGGGAATGAGGCAGGAGCGAGTTGGTGGACAGGAGGAAAACATTAGCTCTCAATCCTTCACGTAGTTGGGATACTTTTCACTGTCGAAGAGGCAGGGAAGCCACAGCTCAGACTGCACCTCCACCAAGCCAGGACGCACGGTAAGTACCGCGTCGCTGCTCAAGTATTGCTGACCTTGTCTGGGAGTCAAGGAGACGCTGGAGGGTGGGGGAGTGTCGAGATGAAGTTGGGGGAAGAGATGGAGAAGAAAGGCGAGATAGCTGAACGGGAAGCTGCAGTGAACAGGCGAGAGCTGTCTCTCCACTGCTTTTCCTGCCTTTGCGCTCTCCGGGGAAAAGCAACCCAAAAAAGTAACGGAAAGATTTTGGTGGGAGAGAAAAGTTTGGCATTCTTGGGTGTCGAAAGGGAAAATATCGGCTTCGCTTTCTTTTCCCCTCCTCACTGCAGTAGCAGTCATCGTGAAAGCTTCCACAACAATGGGTTACTTCTGTGTTGTGTCGGTTTAGCAAAAAGCTGTTTCCGAAAATTGTTTCAGGAGGCAACTTTCTATCAGCGCGCTCCTCGTAAGAGTGTGTTTGTTGTTTTGTAGACGGTGTCTGAGCACGCAGCACTGCTCAGCTGTCAGATCCCGAGTTTAGTCCTCTTTGGTTTCAGAAAGAAACCACCTGGTATAATAAGAATTTTTTCTTGTTCTTGGGAACTGTAGTGACACTGATCATTTGAGAAGATATGGCTGTACATTGTGTGTCAGCACATTTTGCGGTTTTAGCACTGATGTCAGTGATGAGTAATTTCTTCATCATCTAGAGCGGAAGACTGCGAGGAAGTCATCCTGTGTTTACGGTGCAGAAGCATTACTTTTCTATTCCCAGCCAAACACTGAGGTGTTAATTGTGACTTTGAGGAGGTGTATGTTCAAAACACAGAGGCGTAGCAAAAAAGTAACTGGACGTTAAGCCCTATAAATTACCACCTGAATCTCCCAAATTCACCCAGAAACATCTCAACAACTGCAAGGCTAAATTAACAACATTTGGCTCAATGGATGGAGTTCCCATTTAAAAAAAAACCAAACAACTAAAAAGGAGTTTTTACAGCAGGCACATTAACATTTTGTTTACATTGTACCAGGACTGTTGTGTTGGTTTAGAAATGGACTGTTGGATTGTCTGGATTTCAGCCATCCTGTCTCAGTTTTTGAATGAAGATAAACTAAAGTGTGGCTTTGATTGATACTGCATACAAGATAAAAACGAAAGCATTTAAATACTTTTCAACACTGAACAGAAAGCCTGCCTGATGTTTTAGGGTGTAACCCCTTACATGGAAAGGAAACTTAAAAAAAAAAGCTTTGATCAGCACTCAGCATGAGGCAAGCTCGCTGCCTCTTTCTGAATTTGTTTGTATAAAACAGGCTGATTTCTCAGTTCAATGGTCGGTGTCGCCTTCATTTTGATTTCAAACCATAAATGGTGTAAAAGATGGATGTAGTTAGTGCGATGTTATCACTGGTTTTTCATATCTTTGAAGGCTGCCATACCCAAAAAATATGACAAGGAAGGATGGGCCTGACTGTCAAATTGCACGCTCATTGGCTAACGAATTGTGATTGACAAGCTGTTATCCAATGAGCTGGTTTCATAGTATACCACAGCTAACACAGTAGTACAAAGATTTAAAAGATGGACATATTATTATGGGGTGTCTGGACCCCATACTCCCTATACAACCATTGCAAGAGCTTGGTCTGCATAGCTGGCAATAAGTTGGACTTGTTCCCGGTGGGTGATGGGCTCCGCCAGGACTGCCCTTTGTCACTGATTCTGTTCATAATTTTATGGGCAGAATTTCTGAGAAGTTTCTGAGAAGTAGAGCCGCTGCTCCTCCACATCGAAAGGAGCCAGTGGAGGTGGTTCGGGCATCTGACAAGGATGCC